AGACAGCTTTTTTTGTCCCATTACGAGATGCACTCACCGATCGCTTTAGACGGATGGCGCAGAGTCGACTATTAATTGGAATCCAGTCGAGTAAAACTGCTTCTGCACATGCACTTGGTGCTATTCCCACGCCGGTCTGACCAGCGGCCTCTGCCATTGGATCTCCGGAGAGGCGGAGGGTGAACGAGCTTGCAGAATCCGGGGACGGTGAAGCGAGTTGCAGTACGGTGCTCGAATCCTGTAGCCGTGTCTCATTAAGGCAGCAAACGTCCATGGAAAGCGTTTCCAGTGTGCGAGCGAATGTTGCCTGAGCCCCAACTTGCATAAGTGTTCGAACGTTGAAAGTCCCTAACTTCATCTGCAACCGGGGCGCCAGTATTTTTTTTTCAGAATAACCTGATCGGAAGCTTGTTTTTTCGCGTGGGAACTAGGCTATGGTTTCTGCCGTGGTCTTGAGCAACACACTGTTGGAGACTCGAAATAATAGGCAGTAAACCGAGAATAGGAAAGTTCAATAATTGAGGAAGGGAAAGAGTGTGATCTGTTGGTGTGGTAACGTGGAAATCTGTGGAGCCGACCGTCAACGAGCGCATAGTTAGTTAGAACCGAAAATTCGGAAATGTATGTGTGTTGTGTGGGCATGTTACTTCCCAGTTGCCCTGGCCGAAGAAGGGGGATAACCTCGGGGTCCCCACCCGAAGCCTTTGACTAGAAGGCCTGACAAGACAATAGAACGGCACTCAGAGTCCGCAATCCATTAGGGACCGGTGCCCAGTTCATCGGATCAGACGCCCTTCGGACGACGTCAAACGTCCAAGGTGCCCAATACACCTCGATGCCCAATCGAATCGGTGACCGTGTCACGACCAGAAAGGTGTGGGTGGTTCGTGCGCCTCTTCCACTACAGCTAATTCTTGACCATCAAGCATCGTAGCTGGGGTAGACAACACCCAGTCTTGTAGCATCACTTTGCACTTTGAAGGTGCAAAGCGCATGCTGAAAGGGGATACAAAACTCGCTAGTCTGTCAAGAGTGCATTGTGCATCCTCCATAGGTTCGAACGGGCATACGATGTCATCGGCGTACTCTAAATCGCACAGCTTTTCTCCATCTGCCCATTCAATACCTACGTTTTGGAGACCAGTAGTTTCGTTCTCCAGTACTTCGTCTACGACGGAATTGAACAGGAATGGCGAAATAGGGCACCATTGACGGACACCGCTGCTGGTTTCGAACGAGTTACTTACCCCACCGTACACCCTGACGCCACCAGAAGTATGCAGGTACAACGACCGCAATAGGTTTATGTACTTCCGCGGCATTCCTTTGCGGAGCAGCAACCCCAGAAGAGCTTGACGATCAACTAAATCGAAGGCTCGTTTTAGGTCAAGGAACACTGCGATTGTTGGCCGATGATGTGTGTGACGCAGTTCGAGAACTGGACGCAGAGTGAAGATTTGGTCGCTACACCCGCGACCTGGTCGGAATCCGGCTTGTTGTTCGCGGATATTCCTCTCCCTTAAGGGTTTCAGGTGGCGAATTATCACAGAAGTCAACACTTGTAATTATCGGAGCTAAATTAATCCCACGGTGGTTAGCGCAGTCGTTGCGTGGTCCTTTCTTGAAGATCGGAACGGTAAAAGATTCACCCCAGGACAAAGGGATACGCTCCTCCGTCCAAATGCCGCGAAGTAAGCTAGTAATTGAGTCGATAAGAGAATCACAGCCCACCTTGAAAAGAATAGGGAGAAGCCCATCAGGTCCCGCAGCCTTTGCTTTTTTAATGATTGAATGCAGCTTAGTACTTCCGATTCTTATGGGGGCTCGCATGTTACCACCCATGGAGTTTCCGCTGCAATTGCTGGAATGACTACATTGGCACTGGGCCAATTGAACTGTTCACTAAAATACTCTGCCCAGCGATCAAGTCGTTGTTCTTTATTATGGATGCTTTGACCACTTTTATCGCAAATGATCTCACTGACCGGTATGCGACTACCTCCGGTGCTGCATCTCAGGTGAAATAGTCTTTGACTATTTCCTGATGCAAAAGCTACCTCCGTTTCACTAGTTATTTCGGCCCACCAATTTTCAAGATCTTTCTTAAGGCTATTTCTGAGTTGACGTTGCAGGCGACACCGTTCCTTATGCTGATCCTGGCAGATTGCGATCTTTCGCTTTTGATCCGTTAAGATTATTGACTCCTGAGAGATCCAATGCCTTCGGCGAGCTTTGGGCTCAGTCCCACAAGCAAAGTTTGCTGCTGAGTGCATCGCAAATCCAATCTGATTCCACTGTTGGTCTACTCCACTATGTCGCGGTTCTCCTAGCTCCTGTTCCAGCTTCTCCTCATAACTTGCGCAGACAGCTGGATCGCGCAGGCTAATTGGGGATGCGATTTCTGCCGATGACCAATGAGTCGAAGAGCGAAGCAGAACTAGTGCATGATCCGACTCAACGCAGGTGGACCAATAGGGTCTGCAATTTTGTACTGAACCACGCCATCGGTAGCTTGAAGCTATGTGGTCAATTTGGATCAATTTTCCCGTTGAACTAGAACACCATGTAGCCGTTCCACGAGAGCTGTGTCGAAAGTTGGTGCTAGATAAGAACAGTCGGTGATCCGCGCAGAACTGAAGTAGTCGATCACCGTTGTCTGTTCGCTGGGTGGGAAGGGCGAAGTGCCCTCCTGGACAGGCTTCGGGTGCGCTCAGTTTTCCAACTTGCGCTTTAAAATCACCTGCTAGCACCATAGCATCAGAGTTGCGGCTCAACCGAATCAGTTCGGCGGGTTTGTCGTAAAATTCGTCCTTTTGTGAAACGGGACTGCAATTGGTTGGTGCATACGCGGAAATGATGAACAAACACCTTTTGGTGTTGCTACCCTTCCGAGCACTAACTGTACCCCGTAGCCTCATTGCGCACAGACGACTATTGACGGGTATCCAATCGATCATAGAGGCTTCAGCTTTATCGTTTAGTACGATACTTACACCACGTTGATCCAGTGAGTGGGCTGCGTCGTCTCCTGATGTGCGAAGGAAATACCTTGAGGACAGACCCGGCGCACTCAGGTGGCTTATAACACCAGGGTCCTGAATACCTGTCTATGGCATGAAGCAGACATCGATTTCTAGAGACTGTATTGTACACGCAAGACACGCTTGTTAACCCACCTGCACAAGAGTTCTCACGTTGAAGCCCCCAGATTGAGAGGTTAATGAGGCTTCAGAATCTGCACTTTATTTATAGGAAAACTAGTTACAGTGCTATTTGGTTAAGACCTTTGGCGAATGACGACCAAGTCGTCTGAGGGAATATTACGGGTCGGGAGAAGGGGTAAAGGGATGGGGTTGGGTGCGAAGACAAAGAGTTAAACAAAGGTTGAGATGATCGCAACCGAGGATTAGAGACCCTGAGTGATGTGGCTGAGTGTCGTTAACAGTGGCGCTCGTGCATCTTATCAATTTCTCTGCAATATTAGTTCACTGAAATTCTGAATTTTCTCTTTCAACCTTTCATGCCTTTCTCCTAATGTTCATCCAAATGGGCAGCCAAAACCGGTGTACGACAGTGCATGCTTAGTGGTCATATAAACTGAAACTGGGCATCGTGGTAGTCCCTGTTACCTTCAATGCTGAATTGGGATCCCTGAACGTACTGAAAAGGTCTCCAGATGGCTGGCTTGAAGTTCAGTTCAACCGGATCGATAAATGAGATCGTTTACTTCACCCGATAAATTGCCATAACTGCGGCATGTGTGACGAATGTCACTGGACAGGCTTTATCAGCGTACGATGATCCATTGGGTAAGAAAGGGTTGGAGAAAGACCTAGGACGTTAGCATAAAGACTGCGACCATGAAAACTTTTTGACCAACCCTATTTAGTGATCAGAAATACTATTTGACATAACTGAATACCATGAGTAGATGAGCTCGTGCCGGTATAGTTACTTTCTAGTTTCATCTGGTGTGCAAAAGCAGGGTTTTTAGGCAACCCCTAGGTGAAATGCCTGTATTTCACCGACCCAGTTAGAGCCCGATATTTCGACTTTCCACCCTCTCACCCTGGTTGGAAAACATCGCCACGAGACGGTAGTTAGTAGGGCTTCCTCAGCAGAGGCTATTTGAGACGCTTGGTTGTATAAGAGCATTTCGCCAGGTGCAAGGGAAATGTGACCAGCCACAGGTCGAGACACCCACCCCCGACTATACTGGGACTGTCGGAGGTTGGGTCATCGCTCTAAGCTTATCGTTTCTTCTGTGCACTTAATTGTCCTGGAGGTTGCCAAAAGACACACAAACACACGAAAACCTTCCTGAGAAGTGTGACTTGTTCTGTTTAACAGAAATCATTGTTTGTCAAACAGATCAATCACTATTGCGAACTATAGCATCATAGAAAAAACGTTCGTGGTAGGAATGGATTTCACTCATCTGTTTTGCGTGCTCTCTTATGCAGCTGTCAATGCACATTTGTACAATCACATCGCAAAGTTGAAACCATCAGAGTTGAAATGAGTCGTTTGGGGGCTGCCGAAATGTGAGTTACCGGTTGAGGTCCATCGCTGAACCAGATTATAGACACCGCATTTGTACAACTGAACGGGAGCACACGAAAGTGATACTCAACATCAATTTGTTTCATATATACATATATCTCTTGTTGCTTTGTTCACATGGCATGATAGGCTATGGCTAAATCAATGACCTTTCTGTGCTTATCTCAGTGATCAAGATATAAGTCAACGACCCCATTGTGGATGATGTACACTCGCACACGCAAACACAACAGAGCTTCATTTCAATGAAACAACTCACAAAAAACCGCCACAGGTGCTAACATACTTTATTTCTTTACTATTTCTCTTTTCAATATTGATCATCGACTTGATACAATTGATCATTGTATTTTCCGCCTCTTCTTTTGTCACCCGTTATTCCATGGATAGCTCTGTTTGAGAAATCCCTAGCCCCGGGAACTTCCCTACATCCTAGCATGGCTGCTTCCGTCCTCGGTTTGACCAGTACACCGAACTCTTATCGACCGTTCTCAGACGGTCGAAACGGGACCATGCACTCTCCTGTGATCAGTATGGAATCCAGTCAGAATTTGGGCATGAGTATGAACCTGATGCATTCCAGTCTGCTTCACGGTGATATGGGCTCGGTTTTGTGCACCCAGAGTTTCCATCCCAGCCTGACCAGTAGCAGTCCGAAAGAACCACGAACCTCGTTCAGTTTGACCATACCCCCACGGTTGCGAACAATTCATCAAATTGTGATGCAGTACACTAGTCAAGGTAAACACGAAGTGGCTGCCTCGCTGTGTTTACAGGCAGTTGCGGATCTGGAAC